TTTTTTTTTTTTTTTTTTTTTTAATGACTAAACTAATGAATCTCATATGGCGTTAATTAAATTAAGACAATAGCTTTAAGAAACAATGATATTTTCAATTAAATTTCATGTTTTGCTAAAAATTGGTCTGTTTTATCAACATAAAAAAATTTTTTTTTTTAATTTTGTATATATTTTATATATATTTTTTTATATATTTTTTTTATATATTTTTTATTATATACTATGACTATTGATTGCCACTATCACTATATATTTCATTTTGATTAATATTTGTTACAAATGCAATAAAAATAATAGGTGATAAAATATTTAAAATAGAATAGAGAAACAAAGTGTTTTATAATTTTATATCAATTTTATGGAATCATGAATTAAAGTAATTAATTTCTCTCTACGTTGTACACTAAACGTCATGTATTGTTTTATTATTACAATGATATACATATATTTTGACGAAACAATACATTTCATAATAACACCAAAAGAATTTTATGTATTAAAAACTAGTCTAATATGAAATGATTTAAGTTATATTCAAATTATTGATATATAATGAAAAATCGTAATCATATAATAATTGTAAGAGAAAGTATGATAATAAAATGCATATTTTGCCTATAAATGTTATACTTGCAATACATATGTTCTTTTATATTAATAAAATTTTATTTAAATAAATATAAATAGAGAAAAATCTATTTTCTATTTAAAATCATAATAAAATTTTTTAAAATATAGTTTAATGATTATATATATATATATATATACATATCCGTAGTATGGATTTTAAATGCGTTAAGATTAATGATTATCTCAGTTAAAAAATATATGATACAGAATATTGGACAGATGCCACTAAAAATAATTTAACGTTTTTACGAAGATGACTATTCTAAAATAAGTTTCTAACATTATTCTATGCGGGTCATAAGTACTATTTCGTCATAAGTAGAATTTCGAATGTTGTATTCCGAATTTCCATACCATGCCTACAACAGAATATCAGCGTAATATCATCTCTATCAGAGAAAAAAAAAAAAGTAACTATCACTTTTATCATCCCAAAACAAACTATCTTGATTCGTAGAATTTAATGCCTCGAATCGATTTGCTTTCTGCAAATTCAATTCAAGACGGATAAAAACCGAACGAGGATCAATCAAGCAATCCTTGAATTACCTGAGCGTAATCTATTTGAAATCCCTTAATCGGCACGTTCAACCGTTACAATTATTGTTCTTTTGGTTTTTTTTTTTTTTTTTTTTTTTTTTTTTTTTTTCATGGCAAAAACAATTACGGAGTAAAACTTTGTTTTTGTCGTTGCAAAGATATCGCTTTATAAAGTTGAAAATATTTTCGGCATATTCTATATATTTAAAATTATTTAAAGAAGATGCTGCTCGCGATAAGCCTATCCTCATGAGACCTAAATCATGAAAATTAATAAATGCAAAAATTTATATATTATACAGAATATTATTTATTTATTGTACATAATATTTGTGCTTTAAACCATTATATGCCGTAATAATTGCAGTATCTAAGCGAGATCTTTTATTCTTTTATTCTTTATGAATTATGTAAAGAGAGCTTTGCCGATTAAATTTTACAGTATCGACGTTTAATTGAAAATATTCAGCGGCTTTAGCCATACCACCAAAAGCAAATTAAAATGGTTTTATTTTCAAAGTAACGATCACCTTCCTCATTTTACATTGAAATATTAAATGCAAAAGTTAATCAAAAGTATTTTGTATTTATTATTTAAATTATAGAGAAACCTCTTCCGACATTTCCCTGAGATTTTATAGTGAAATAATATGCCAATATGTCGAAACATATTTATGATTTATTCGTCTGATCTATATTTTTATCTAAAAGAGTTTTATTTCGTCGTAAGAGCAAGTATTAAATATTCACTTTATCATTGTAAGTTGGGGGTGAGCGCTATCTTTTGCGCTATGAAATCCTCCTTCCTATTAAAACCAATAATTGTTCTTTATTTAAAATATTAAGTGTTTTATAAATATTCTCTTATAGGATGACGTAAATCACGAATAATATAAGTTGAAATTTCTTCAATTACTTAAGAAATAAGCATCAACATATGACCAAAGTTGTCCTTGATCGGATAATACTTTTTAGAAAAAATGGGAATATGCCATTTTTCATCAACAGACAATCACGAAAATCCCTATAATAAAATTAATTAGAAAAATTTAATATATAATTATTTTATATAAATATATTTTCAAATTAATCTTAATATTGACTATATTATGCATTAAATTAAGTACAAAATTTTAAATGAAAATGAAAATTATATAGATATATTATGATCAGCATGAAAATTTGAAATTTTTGAAACTTCAACAAATAGCATTTTTTTTCTAACACATTTAATTAACTATAAATAGAAATAGAAATAATTGTGCCCAAGTAACGTAATTGTGAAAATCACGGTTAGCTATTATTGTTAATGTTTGTGTATACATATGTAAACATTGTTTACGATTTTCTCCTGCTGGATCCCTTTTATATATTAAAAATGAAAAATATAAATTATATACATAAGGATATTTTGGAGTTATATATAAGTTTGTAAATTCTCCAAAATTTGGTTTCAAATCCATTTATTAATTGTTTTGACAATACAATTGACTATAAATTAATTGAACGTTAAACAGATACTTTTTTGTTTTTTAAATCTATATATTTTTATTGTACTAAAATACCTTTACTCTTTATACTCCAATACAATCGTTTGTTTCACACGCTAAAAAAGTTCTATCGAATAATTTATTACTTCGTCTTTACTTTCGAACTGCTACGAAAATAATAAAAATTTTAATAGAAGAATATTAAAATGTTCAAACACACAGGCTTATAAAAAGCAGTAAAAGTATAAATTAACATTTTGTCTATTTTAATTTACAATAATTTTTTTAAAAAAATATATTGGTAATCAATAATATAGCGATAATATGTAATAGAAATTTTATGATCTGTAATATATAAGGAATTGAGATTGCAAAGATATACCGCCAATGCAATCATTTCCAAAAACTTTAAGGAACCTGGTTCGCTATATTTAGATGTTGCAAGTATGAACACTCCTTCGGCTAAGTTAATTGGATTAAAAATAAAACTCATGGGAAAACCAACAACACCGCAATGAACCACCACAGATATTTACAAAATATAAAAATATAAATCAATTTTTTACTTTCAGTAATATATTAAAAAAAAAAAAAAAAAAAAAAAAAAAAAAAAAAAAAAAAAAAAAAAAAATTGTTTACCAGAAAAAAAAAATGTTCTAAAATTTGCTTATATCAGATCTTTCTTCTTTATCCACTTTTATGCTTTTAGCATACTTTTACATTATCACTTTGGCAATCTGAGAATATTAAAAACATGCTATTTCTATTGGACTGACAAAATGACAAGCGAATAAACCAATAGATAAAAATAATAATATATTTTCTCGTTTGGCTTTCGCTGAAGCTTCTTCTACCCACGGATACTATTTAACTGGTTTTGTCGCATATTGTAACGGGTAAGAAGATTTTTCAAAAGCCTATTTATTTTTATATTTCTTATTGTCCGTATTACTCGATCTTGAAACCATTTTCTTATATACAAATGTACAAAATGAAGTACAAAATATGCTTTGAAATATTAAATATATTGGAATATATCCTGCTGAGTAACCCAGATACTTTCAAACATTTTTACTTTAATATAAATCAAAATGAAAACATTCGATTAATAAAATTTAAATTTGATCAAAGTTTTAAATTTTGTCAAAAGCCAGAAGTACTTTAGATCATTAAAATTTACAATTTTACATTGTCATGAAATAATCATTTTACAATATTGCAACAGATTTAACATGAAATACTTTGCATAAAAGTCAATTGCCTATTAATTTTGTATAAATTTATCGAGCATTCTAACGAGTCTATAAATGATATAACACTACAAACTTTTAAAACATAATTAATATCAATGATTAAATAAATTATAAAATAAAGTATCACATTTAATTAGTATATGGAAAGTTTTATTATGATTTATAGATGAATATAAGTATAAGATTTTATTAAAATACACCACTATGCAATCTAATTTTATACATAATAGAAATTAAGAGGCACTCGCTATATTGTTACTGTACTCGATAAATATTATCCCTTATGCTATGAGTTAGATGATTATGAGACTGAAAAAGATGACTGCTACAATGATCCCTATAATAAAACAGAGTATATATAATTATTAGTTTTAAGACAAATACATACTTGATAATTATCATGTAAAATGTGTCATAATAAATTGTTATATTATTAAATTAAATATATTATTTTTGGTTAGGCATAGGACGTAGATCGTAAATGAAGTACAAAAACGTGTACAAAAAAATAAAATTACAACGCAATTAAGATTATTTACCTAGAAAATATAAAAGTCTCATTATTAGTCGCAAAATTGAATGTTAAAATCTGTTTAAAAAATATTATGATAATCCATACAAATTTTTTTTCCTCGTTCTTCTTAATCTTGGAACAATGCAATATATTATATATAAACTTCCGAATGGCGTAAAGCTTTGAAATTAGTCTCAAAAATTTATTCTCTCTTGCAGCTTACTAATTTCAACTACTTATCACTACTTATCAGAAAACCTTACGTATTTTGTGGCAATCAGAATTTATTTTGATTTCTGTTTTCCGTTCTCCGAAAAGTGTCCATTCATTTTCATGTTAATATTCAGGATTTTAAAAGCCAAGTACTAAAATTAAACATTAATTTTTTAATATTTACATTTGTTATATTAGTTGACCAAATATATAACTATTCTTAATTACGAATTGTATCGTAAAGTGTGAAGTGAATTTGATAAAAGATATCTCAACATGTTCATTTTATGTAAACAAAATAGAATGAACAACATAACCAATAATGATTTTAATTCACAATTCCAGCACCAGAGAACGCTCTTATGTATTCATAATAGCAAACTTGTTGTTTGTATCGTTTTATCCCAATTGGTTAAGTTAACTTTCAAACGTAACAAAATCTAATTTATTATGTCTACTACGCATAGAGAAGCAATTCAAAAACAAATTCAACAAGATTGGGCAAATCGAGAATATATAGAAGTGATTACAGGCAGTATTAAAAAAATTACTGATTTTCTTAATTCCTTTGGTAAATTGATGTAAATAATTGATTGCACTGTACCAATCATTAATACATTTGTTTTATTTGTTTAATTATTTTATTTTTGTTTTGTTTTTTTTTTTTTTTTTTTTTTTTCAAAGACATGTCTTGTAGGTCTCGTTTGGCCGTTTTAAATGAGAAATTAACAACTTTAGAGCGTCGAATTGAATATCTTGAAGCCTGCGTAAGGATAACAGTTTTATAATTACAAATTGAGAAAGCAATTATATTAAATTTTATTAACATTTCAGGTAACCAAAGGAGAGACATTAACTTAAATAATTTATTAATATAATTATGAATAAATTTAATATATTATACCATTCTATGTCGTTATATATATATATATATATATATATATATATATATATATATATATATATATATATATATATATATAATATATAAAATATACATATTAAATAAATAAAGATTTCCAAATTTTATATTTTTATTTGTAATAGATAATGCTACATTCTAAGTATGGGTTTAAAAATTTTGATAACCGAGTGCCTTGTTTCTTGGATATTTCATCATTGGTTTAAATATTGGCTCGTAATTTTTGCTGGGAAAAATATATTTTCTTGGTATTTTGTGTGGAATAATGGTTCCTTCGTGAGTCAATTGATTTTTATCAATTACATAAAATCTGTTTGTTTTCATTGTTACATAATATCCTAAAGCAATTGCCACTAAGCCAGTTAAATTATAATTTTTTTGCCACTTTTGTAAAATGTAACAGGACGAAGCGACTAATAATAAAAATATCGTTATTAAATGAATAAATATTGCCACTAATTATGAAAAATGTATAAAGAAAGAAAAGAAAATTAAATTAACAATTACTGTAAAAACTTTTAAGTCCATTACCTCCAAAATAATGATTTAGCGTGTCATCTTTTTTTCTTAAATAAGCAGATGCAAAAGTAACCGATGTACATGTCAAGATCATAGTACTAATTGGTACTACCCAATAACTAATCATATTTAGCATTTGCCAGTTGTTGTATACGAGGACTGATTTAAGTGACGAGATTGCAAAAAAAAATACCGGCATAATAAAGTAGGTAGAGCCAATAAGTTTGCCCATAGGATCCTGACCAGCCGGCTTTTTAAAATATTCATAGTCCTTCCTGAGTTTGCTTAATATGTTAGTCATGACTGTACCTAAATGATTGCTGTGAATTTTCATCGTTAAATTATAAAAAAGGAAAGAAAAGAAGAAGAAAAAGAAAATTTAAGATTAAATATATTTTCATGACATAATATTAATTATCTAAGCTAATTTTTTGATAGTAACATATTTTAATTTCAACTATCTTCAATTATGTTTTTAAATATACAGTGCAATTATTGCAATGCCCATTATAAGGAAATATCGAGAAATTCGGAATAGAAATGATTTACCTTATAATTATCCAATACCAGGGATATTATAAACTTCAGCAACTTATTATTATTAAGATTATTATTACAATTTCAATGAAATTTCTTCGATATACAATGTGTAACTTCCAACATCTCCATGAAAACTATTCAGCTGTGAGCCAATAAAACGGCCATACTTTCGCTAAAATAAGAAGGAGGAACAGATGCCAAAGTATATTTGATCCGCTAGCGTCTAGATTGTGAAATATAAAAATAATTTTAAGAACATTACAAAATAATGTTTCGCACTACTGGCATGCGGATTATCGTTCAGGTATCCTATTAACAATTATTTCATTAAGTCATTTCATTTTAATGAAAATTCTAAATAACTCGGATAAAGCTCGAGGGGATAAAGTTGGTTATAACATGTTATTCATCTATTTTGTTTTTGTTTTCTGCTTTTTTTCCACCCTTTTTTCTTTTTTCTTTCTTTTTTCCTTTCCTCCCCCCCCCCCCGCCGCCGCCGCCGCCGAAATAAATTGACGCATTTCTGAGTCTGAATTATGAATATTTTTATAGAAATCTCGCGTTGCGTTGGATGGTAATGTTATTTCTAATAAAACGGTGAAAGGTCAAGCCTCGCAGTACGACAGTTCAAATATACCGAATGTTAAAGGATTTAGTGATGCTGTTGTAAAAGTTCCAGATACACGTGAGTAATAAATATTATTATAATAAAATATTTGTTAAATCGTTAAATTTACGGGACTTGTTGGTCTCTCAGTAAAAAAAATAATCGTGAATATCGGAGCGGCATTTAGTTGGATGGGACCAATTTAATGGAATACAATGAGTTTTGATTGTTATAATCTAATGGAAATGTTGTACGATGAAAGAATTTTGTATTTATATAAGCTCGGCTAACCCTAAAATATCGTAATGTCTTATTAATGTTTGGCAATATCATGTTATAATGTTAATGTATTATAAAAAGAAATAAATAAATAAAATAAAATAAAAGACCTTGTATTTAATGGAAAATTAAAATATGCACAAAACTATGAGTTTGCATTAAGATACATCATTAAAATTTCTTCTCGATTTTTTATAATTTACTCTTTGAAATTATGTTCTAGCCGTGGGATATGCTGGTGCCTCGAAAAATACAGATTATAAAAATCCAGAGTATTATTGCTATCATGTGGATTCCTTTGGTGATTCTATGGTAGAATTAGCCAAGTATAGACTACCAGCTCCATCGAATAAAGCAAACGATTAAATTACACATTAGTATAAAATTAAATTGTTTAATAAAGCGATGCATTTGTAAATTTTCTCATCGTAGTAAATAAAACTAATCGGTTATATAAAATATGTGTAGTTGGTTAAAAAATTAAATTATTTCAAACGTATATTAGTAAATTATAGTTATTTGGTAATTAAACGTACGTTCTATTTTAATTAAATGGCCGCATTTTTATTTATTTGCATTAAATTTTTATTTTAAGGATTTGTAATATATTTGTGCAAACGTGAAACTAATTTTTTTTAAAGCTTTTCATTTTTGAAGATAGAATATTGTGTCGTAATAAAGTAATTGTAAAATCTGTTATTTATTAATTTTACATACTTTATATAATAGATTGAACTATCGAGCTCGACAAATGTTTGAAAATATAATATAATATACACTAAATGCATAATTTAACATTTTTATTTGTACGCGCGTAGTGACAGATTATATTGTAAAAAGTATTAAATATGGAAATTTTGAAAAATCTTTTATACAAGGAATGTACATACATAAACATGTTAATATAAAGTAAGCATTATTCATTGAATGTTCCTTAATTTTAGCGGTGCTTTTCACATAAGAATACTAATTTAATTTATCTGAAATATATAACATATGCCTATAAAGATAAAAGAAAAGGATATTTTTGTTACGTAATATTGGATTTGTCGTTCTGAAACTGCAAACTTGAAATTACAAACATCGCTACTACTAATAACTAAACTAGACTACTCGTGCGTGCGTAGGTGCGTGCACGTGTGCATATAGCTTGTTAGAAAAATATTTTGAATCCATTTCTACCTCGTCATTATCACATTTTTTCCAATTAAATGTATTTATATTAATAATCAAAATTACTAAATCACAAGTAATATCCAATACTAGAAACATTTATATTAATTAAATCGCGCGCAAATGTATTGCGATAATGATTTATACAACATTTAATTAAATTATTTTTATTCGTTTTAAATACAATTGAGCATTCTCGTTTCTTTTCCTCACTGTAAAATTAAAAAATCTACCTTAATGGTGTAACTCGCTATCGTAAATTAGGGAAAATATAACATTAGTGGCCACGGGAGAAGAAGATGAAAATAGTTTTTTTTTTTTTTATGAATCAACAATAAATAGAATAATCATAAAATATCGACATTGTGTTAAGAAAGATGGTAGCTCGCTTTAAAAAAAAAAAAAACCTGAAAAGCAATGGGAAATAAATTAACACTCGGTATTAAAAAGAGAAACAAGAAAAAATTTAATTATTCTTCTTAAGCTGTCTTGATAAGAAAGTTATAAAACGAGCGTTTTCGCGTAATCGGTCGTGCAAATAAACAATCCTATTGTTTTTATTATTTTATTTCGTTGTCCGTAGTAAGAGGCCATTAATTAGCGCTCAAAAGTCTTCAAAAGTCACTATTAAATAATTTCGTAATCTTCCTTTGATGTTTCATCATATCGTCGGCCCCACGTCCCTCTCGCTTGCATATTTAAAGTAATCGTACTTCCGTATTAATGAACCAGCAATTTACTCATCGTAAACAGCGACAGAGCATACCTTAAAAAAAAAAAAAAATCTTACAATATTATGTTCAGATAGTTAAGTGGTAGTGACGATAATCATAAAGCGCACCGCGTGTCTGAAATTCTTAAACGCAGTGAAACTATCAAAGTAGAAGGATGACGTCGTTTGCTTTACCGGTTGTACTTGGATTCGGTCGTGTTGCGATAGAAAATGTTTACCAAAACAGCAAAAGTCTGCTTTTACGGTAATTGACTTTTTCTTTCTCAAAAAGGATTAATAAAAAGCAATTATTTCGTTGAGCCCGAGATAGATTTCTCGTTTGGTGTATTACGTTTTTAGGTTAGGTGTTATCTAATAAAAAAAAAAAAAATTTTTTCTCCCTCATCAATTCCTTGTATTTTATCAACATAATTGATGTTTTTGACAATTTCGTAGTTTTTTGGTTAAGAAATTTCTTCATATACTTCATAAATAGTCGATATATTTATTTATTAAGGAGTTTATTGGGGATTGGTGTAAGAATTATTGAGAGTATGATTTTTTTCGACTAAATGCAAGATTTCGTTTCATTATTAAAATTATAAATTTCTTCATCGTAATTCTGTACGAATTGACTTTTGAACTTGTTGCCGTAATCTCCAAAAAAAAAAAAGTAGGTGAACAAATTTATGAAAATATTTGTAAATTTTACAAACGAGTACTTTGAGGCTACTTAACAAACACATATATATAATTCCATTATTTTCTTATGTTTTTGCAAAAAATTGCTTCCTTCTTTAAAGTGTATTGTATAAATAAATGAAATTTTTTTTATTTTTTTTATTTATTTATTTATTTTTTATTTTTTTATTTTTTTGTTTTATTTGTTATAATATGTTTTTAGGCCTAGAAAATGTTCGTCGTTCTTCGTTTCGAGTAAAAGAAATTTTGGAACTGTAATTGAAAATCAAAAGGACAGCAATCAAACTAATTCGAATCCAAATTTAGTTGAGAGTGAGCAAAAGTTGAAGTCAGAAATTGAATTATTGAACAAGGATATTGAGGAATTGAAAGAAAAAAATGAAGAGCTCGATGATAAATATAAGAGGGCCTTAGCTCATAGTGAAAACTTAAGATTAAGATTGACTAAGCAAATTGAGGACGCAAAGCTATTTGGAATACAAGGATTTTGTAAAGATTTGTTAGACGTCGCAGATATTTTAGGTAAAGCAACGGAAAGTGTCCCCAAAGATGAGATCTCTGAGAGAAATCCTCACCTAAAGAGTCTCTACGAGGGCCTCGTTATGACAGAAGCTCAATTGAATAAAGTATTCAAAAAGCATGGTGTTATATCGTTAAATCCCTTGAACGAACGATTCGATCCCAATCAACACGAGGCATTATTTCAACAAGTAAGATTATAAGCATTGCTTAATAATAGAAATATTATTCTCCAATAAAATGCGTCCGTTAAAATTAATATGCTTTTCAAACAGGAAGTCGATGGGAAAGAGCCCGGAACGGTTGTCGTTGTTTCAAAAGTTGGTTACAAATTACATGAGAGAATAGTTCGACCTGCCCTGGTTGGTGTCGCAAAAGGCTAAAAAAATTTATTTCTTATTTCAACGAATGGATAATCTTCTATCAAGAATATTTTAAGCGCATTTAATTCTATAATAAATCAACATTTTATGTAATAAATTAAGGCACACAATATAAAATATATGCGATCCTTCATAATTTCTTTTAACCTTCAACTTGTAAAATATTGTATAATCAGTGTTAAATTTATTGTTGTTAAAATTTAATAAATTTAGCGTCCTTACCAATTTAATGCAAATTTAATTTATATTCTTGATTTTGTATAAAAATAATATTACATAATAAATAGTAAAAACTAATATAATTATAATAATTCTAAAATTGAAGTTGATATTTATAATTAACTTATATTTTATTAGAGATTTTCGGGGGTTTTTTTTTTTTTTTTTTTTTTTCAATTTATAAGCATAACAGTGTTTTGTACAAAACTATTCTTATTTTTATATCACCAAACATTTTACTTACAAAAATTTTACAATATTTCAACATTCACTTTAGCAGCGTTCGAAAACTTTATATAAACTAGGTAAACTCGTTATTTCCAAAATTGTCGAATCGTATGAGAAATGTTTTGGAGGTAAAAGGCTTTCCTTTATAGCATTATATAAGATATTTTCAGTTATATTTTTCCACGAATCATTTGTAATGTCTACTTTACTATAAAACTTTGCGGTTTCCCGACAAACGTCATTAAAGCATGGCTTTTCTTTCGTCCAATTCACTTCGGTTGACAATCTTAACAAATATAACGGTATCTCTCCTTGACTGGGAATATAATTTTCTGAAAATATGTAAAAAATGAATTAACAGCTCATAGAAGAAAAAAAAGTATTAATAGGACGTTTTCCCTAAATTTACCTAATAAAATTGGTAAAGACTTAAGGTATCCTTTTTTATCTATACATATTGAAAAATATTGTCTTAACATATCAGATTTTTCAAGTAATAATTCTTGCACACGCATTGCCAAATCTTTCTTATCTCCTATGCTCTCTGACCAACCTGCTTCCTCGCATTCAAGTCCAAGTATCGCTAAATCTTGAATTAATAATGGTTCCTAAATAAAAAATTCTTTATATTTTCAATGTTCTTTTAGTCAATCTATAATTTTCCCCTGTTATAATCATTTTCTTATTTTTCAAACCGCAAGTTCAAACATCAACATTACATGAAAATATCACTATTATTCTAAGAAAATCTTTCATTCATTTTAAATTTCAAAACTTTCTTAAATTTTTTTAGTGAATTTGTTTTAAAATTATTGGTATATATATATATATATATATATAAGTAACAGAAAAGGAAAATAAAAGCATTTAAAAACTTGCGTAACCCATATACACATTCAAGTACCTACAAAAATTCTTTTATAATTACATTTTGAATTTTTGCCTCAAATTCTTAAAATATTTCTTTGTTTTTCGAGAATAACAAAGTATAAAAAGAATTTCATTAGAGTGGTAGTTTCAATCAAAATCGTAAGTTTCATTTAAGCAAATCCTTTATTGTCTATGCTATAAATAAAAGTATATCTTACTGAAAATTTTATCACCCCATAGTTAGCAAAATCGTACAGCATAATTTCATAAAAAAGTTCTTCCCTAATTAAACAGAAAATTAATTGTGTACTTAGAAATATTATTCAATATTATAATTATTATTGATTACAAAAACTCATGTCACTTACGCAAGTTTTTGAGTATTACAAATGTACAGATTAATTCCACTTTGAATTAATGCTGAGCATTCATCGATGCATCCAATAAAAATCAAATTAGAAAGTATGTCACGTAATCCTTCGTGATACGTATCTTCTATTTCCTTTCGTAATGTTAATACACTCAATAATTTCGTCTCTATTCGTACTTCATTAACAGAATATGATTTGAAATCAATGGGTTGTCTACTTTTTTTAGAACATGTATCGCTATTTTCATTCTCTTCTAGAGCAGAACAACTAGAATTGCTTTTGAATGATTCGTTAGAGTCCTTTTGCATATCCGAATCATCGTTTTCTGCACTTACTGATCTGCAAATGTCCTTAGTTTCCACTGTAATATTTGAATCGTTTGAGAAATCCGAATCATCAATATAAGCTTCTGTATCCTTAGATATATCAATATCGTGCTTATCTTTTATTTTAAGATCCTGTGTATCTTGTATAACAATATCCTGTGCATCTTCTATATTCATATCTTGTGTCTCTTCTAGCCTATTATACTCTGTATCTTCTATACTACTATCTTGTGTCTCTTCTATATTAATAGTCTGCGAATCGTCCATATTAATGTTCTGTGTATCTTGTATACCAATGTCTTGTGCATCCTCTATATCAGTACCATGTGTATTTTGTATACCAATATCCTCCGCGTCTTCTATATTAGTATTTAATCTATCTTCTTTATTAATACTTGTAATACTATATTTATTTATAAAGGAACTGGTGAAATTGAATTTATCTAATTTTTGATCGGACGAGCACGTTCGTATCATATCTTTTGGCTGAATTTTTTTCATCTTACTCGATTCATTTTGCGTGTCTGGTAAAGCTTCTTGCATAATTTCTTTTGTAATGTCAACTTTTGGAAGTTTAGCTTGAATGTAAAAAGTTCTAGATGAATTATTCGAAGTAAGCTTTTCATCGAGTGTATTTTTTATTTTTTCAATGATTATGTCTTCATAAAGAAATCGCACCTCGTGTTTCGTTGGATGTACATTAACATCGATATTTTGGGAATCTATTTCTAAGGAAATGTAGCACCATGGATGTGATTTTTTTGGTAAATATACAGTATATAAATCTTCAATAGTTTTTTTTAAAGCTATAAACATAATATTTCATAGATGTTTAATTAACATAACTTTATATATATATATATATATATATATATATATATACAAATTTCAATCTATTTAATAAATCAATTGATTGTACACTTACGATTTGAATCGACTAATCGATGATTAATAAATAGCAAGAGCGTCAATCTTTTGCTCGAATAATTAGCATTTGTTATCAATGCGTGTAATTTAAATTTGTATACGTGGTCATCTAATTCAACTTCCAATAATTCTTTTACAATATTATTCCCATATAAAAGACGTATATTATTGATTTTAGTAGATGATTGTGGAGTGCGAATTTGTGTTACCAGCTCACCATGCTTTTTTAAAGTAAATCCTACATTTGGATTATGAATGGCATATTTATTAACAACGTCTAAAATTTTTACAAATTCTTCCGTGTAAGTTGACAATGCCTTTCTACGTGTCTCAACGTTATAAAATAAATTTTCAATTGTTATTATTGTTCCTTGATTGCCGGCGCAAGGAACAGGAGGCCCCTTTAATTTACTATCGATATAAGATGCCCTAAAAACATAAGTCTTAGAAGAAGTTATGTAAATTTTAGCGTAACATTACATGATTATTAACGGCGACTGGTAAATCCATTATATAAATTAAGTACAATAACGTAAGAGCGAATGGAAATTAAGAATACCTGTAAGCACACTTTTCGTTTATTGTTTTGGTCGTGATAGTGAGTTGTGCGATGTGACTAATGCTAGCCAAAGCTTCCCCTCTAAAACCATAAGTTGAAATTGACTGGAGGTCATCGAAATCTTGTAATTTACTGGTGGTAAAACGTTCGCAGACTATAGCCAAATCAGCTACACGAATGCCTGTACCGTTGTCTTGAATCTTAAACAGAAAAATGAAAAATATCTCCTTTTGAAACAACTCAATGCACGCATCGAGAGGTAATATTTTGAAACACAAAGCAATAAACCTGCAGTAACTTTAAGCCTCCTTCCTTTGCCCAAATTTGAATGTTGGTGGATTTAGCATCGAGGCTGAAAACGATCACATCACATAAATATAATGGATTACAGAGCATTGTGCGCCGACATAGTTTACCTGTTCTCGATTAATTCCTTTAGAGCGTTTGCTGGCCTTTGAATTATTTCACCGGCAGCAATGCGATTTATTACGCTTTCGTCCAGTTTTCTTATTCGTCCCGGAATCGTCATCTTCTATTTCAATAACTTATATTCTTAGCAAAATAATCATTATGAAAACGTTCTTTAAAATAAAAATTCTACTTTTTCCCTTTTGTCCACTGACATACAACTCGCGTACTACCACATTTTCCCAATCAATCGAATACAAAACTTTAACGTCTCGTGGAATGTAATCGAACATCCCCTCCCGCTCTCCCATCGCTACTCGCCGCCACACGTACTATCCCCACCACGTACGGCCAGGTCTCGTTCGATGTGTTGGTGACGTAATTACGTATACCAGTGTTGTTTTTTTCGATGTCAAAAGCAAAAGCAATAATGAATTTCTGTATCCAAGGTGACGAGTAAGCGTCAATTAACAAACAATTCGACGCTTACATCGATTGTACCATGGCTGAGTTGCATTTAATAGGGACAATAGCATCTGCCCGAGACTTTCGACAATCTCGTTTATTTTCCAAATGGAGTTTTTCCACCGGTAAGACATTTTCATCGCACATGTACATATTTCTCATATTTACCCCATCATTCCTCTTGTAACAATCGTTCTCCCGTAAGTTTATGAAAAACATGTATGGTTTATAAGCTGGCACGTGAATTTCTAAACATGAATTTATTATTTTTCTATCACCCACATTGATTTTTTTAGGCAATGGATGGAAAATTATTAACGGATGCAGCGAAGGGCAAACACAAGAATGTTGCGATCCTTATTCAAATGAGCCAGTCTGGGACCATCCGGTAGACCTTCATTTTACAACAAAAACACTGCAGGGATCTCCAAAAGCTTTATTACAAGTATTTTGCAGAGATGATTTTAATAAAATATTGTTCGTCTCGTACGGTGTTTGCAGTATTCCTTTAAAACCAGGTTTCCATTCTATCGAATGTCACACGTGGAAACCAATAGGTAAAAAAAAAAGCCTCGAGTTTTCTTAATATATAATTTATAAATTGAGTGCATGGTAATACAAACGTTGCGTGGATATTTTTTATAAGCAAAGCTGAAGATAATATAAGCCCTAAAATTCTTGTCGGCGTTACCAATGTTATTAACGTTAATAATCGATATTGTAATGGTAAATTAATTATAAATTGTTTTTAAAATTATATCTTTTAATTTTTATACCTTTGAATTATTATTTACGTGCTCCAAGTATTTTTGTATTTTAGAATTGAAAAATCTTTTCAGGCGATTGGCAAGATAGATTGAAGGACAAATTTTTAGGCACTACGCTTCAACTTAAATCTCCAGATGTTTTAGTAAATGCTGACGATAGATTTGAACTGCTTACCGAAAGCATGGGAATAGTTCGAATCGATCTCCATGTACTTGCAAAAAATTTCGACAAGTTCGGTTGTCATTTATGACCAAACAAATGAATAAAAAGAAGGATAAATAAAGAAATAAATAAATAAACGAGTATGGCTGTAATTAAAAAACTTATTCTTTTACGTTTATTCTCGCTCTTATCATTTGCATTTAGCGAAGGACTAGAAGAGTTCGATGATTCTTGTTTAAATAATACTCTCTGTGAGAATACAACACTCTCTGATATTCTTGATAACAATGATATAAATAATGTGCACATTAGTGAATTAGCTACAAATATCTTCAATTTTGGAAAAAATACAAAAAATACAATCACTACTACCGAGAGTAGTGTAATGAAAGAAACAAGCCCAGAATATAATAAGGAACTCTTTAAATTACAAAAGGATTCTGAGGAGAAATTTAAAAATAAATTTTGTAGTTGCGATTTAATTGTAAGTTACTTCAAGATGTTAATGGGGATGAAAATTTTCATCCTCATAAAATCCTATATAATGTCAATCTATATTATTTATGGTATCGTTATCTTTGTAATTATTTACAATACAGGCTGGCTTTTGTGACATTAACTGTTGCTGCGACTCGGATTGTACAGAACATGACTCAAAAGTCTTTTCTCGCTGTATAGATCGTGAGATTGACAAAGAAAAGGATAGCTGGTACTGCCATGAGAAACCATTCTTTCGTCATAACGAAACGAGATTTATTTTTAAAAAAATTGTCGACAGCTTATTTTGTATAGCTTCTGACAATCTTCCACCAATGTACAGTGCAAGTAGTGATTTGGTAAGCTTATAGTTACTAAAATATTATGAAATTTTAATGAATTTTAATTAACCATTTATAATAATAATATTTATAGCAAATTGAAGATAAAAGTAGTTTTAAAAACATTATAAGCAATAATAAACCATCGAGCTTCAAATGGAAATTGGATAAGAAAAATATTAGCTTCCAAAATTTCAATGTATCCAGTCAATATCATTATGGAGACATATTATGGACAATAAATAAAAATTCTTTGCAACCATTTGGTAAATAAAATGAATATTTAATATGCATTCAATGAGTCGAATAATTTGTACATTTTTAAAAAAATTTTCAGATCTTCCGCAAAGTGGTTTTGGCAAGATGTGTGATTTTAAAAAGGCCGTTCGATTTCTCGAAGACTGGACGAGTTCTTGTTATCAGAGCAATTTAACCAATAATAACATCTATCTTTTTCCATCAAATTTTATTAATTTTACTATAATAGCCACACCTTCAAAGTTCAATTCGCAATATATAGTACAAGATTGTCCAAAAGCCGTTTGTCAGTCCATTAATGTCTTTATTTGCTCAGGGTCATTGATTGTTTGTAATGCCAATGAAACCGTTAAAACCACCTGTTCGGAAAACATTTGCTATAATGCAGTAAAAAAAATTGTATACGTTATTCAACATAATGGAAGCGAGGGGATTAAAAGTATCGATGTGCATTTTCGACTGGCAAATGTTTCGAATAGCTTTAAACAAGAGTTTGAAGTACGTTATAAGTGGATAAATGCAAATGAGTCGTTAATTATTGAAAGAAGTGGAAATCCAGGATACATTGCAGGGAAGCCAATTTTTGTTGGAACACAATTATTAAACAAAACTAATGATATGGAAATTAAATACATTGCTTTTAATAAAATTTACAAATACTTGACATTACCGATGGCATATAAAAGTGGCATATGCAGCGAAACTGAAAGATATCCAGTGAAATTTCTAGAAAATATTAAACTAAAGTGTTCGATCGTCGTTGAAACTAGTAATTTCTCAACATCAACTTGTGTCAAGCTCCAAAATCGTACAATTGAAGCACTAACCAGTTTTATGACGTTCAAAAACTTTGAACAAACGAATTTTGATAGGCAATTTGTTTCTAAATCCGGTAACATTTCCGATAATAACACTAAAAGTTGGACAAAAATATTCTTCGAAAAGTCTCCACAAAATATTATTAGCGCACGAATAACGGAAAGTGAAATACAATGTTCAGGATTGGTGACATCGGTTATATTTGATATTGTACACTCTTTAATATCGAAACCAGGTAGTGATAAAAATCACGTAATATTGGGAGTCCAAGTCGCATTTTCACAAGGAGTTGATTTAAAATGGCCAAAATGCATTGGTAAAAATTGTACAGATATATTGCAATTGGATGTAGTTAGTTTTGTATCGTTTCATGACGTATCCAAGCCTACGAGGTATCACATTGCTGGTGGACCGAATTTAGATATAAGTTTACCTTATGATTTTTTCTATCCATTTTTAAGTCATTCAAGGTCAAACGGAACCACGCTAAAATTCAAACTTATTCATATTTACATTACATTATGTTTCATATTTAATTTGTGCATATATAAATTTGTTTTATTTAATTTTACATAAACGGTATATTTACATTAATATTTTTAACATTATCATATCTATTTATTATTGGAATAAATAATGTAATTATTTATACGTAGGATAATTATCTTAATCTTTAAAATTAATTACCTTATATTCTCTCAAATATTTATTAAAACACATTATTCCATTCATTGTGGTTTAATTACTAAGAGCACTTTTAAGAATTACATGATTTGCAAATAATTAAACATTTTTAACTAAAGATATATTATTCATAATTAAATTATTCATTAATATAATGTATTGGTTCAACAAAATGGTAGGCATTCATAAAAAGTCGAGCGTACTCCTATAATTAATAACATTTGTAAAATAGTCTTCAATTCATCAATATAACTTCAAATTAATGTTTGATTATCAGCTGCGTTCAATTATTTTTTCATCAGAAATATACTAATGAGACTGGTGATACCTGCTATTGCTATTAAACTACCGTTTCTATCTGAAAACATAAAAACACAATAATTAAATTAATTAGAAGACGGCATTGCATTGCTTGTAAATAATCTTTTTGTATAATTAATTAAATTTCGAGGTGCAAACGTTTATTTTCAATGACATTCGTGTAGAGTTTGCACAGTTAATAAGCACCGTATTCATGTATAATAAATAATAAATTAGAAACTTTAATAATATATCAATATTCTATAAAATGTAATTTACTCCAATTTAATAATAATAAGATTATCAATTGTGTAAATTAATAATAAAGGAAGCGATAAAAAAGATTATTGTAATTAAATACAAAGGTAATATAAAATGCTACAACTCATAAAATAAATTGAAAAATACAATATTTAATTTTATGATTACATTTGGTCGAATAATTTATCTTAAGATATAATAAATTTTCTTATTTAACGTAGCTACACAAACAGTTGTAATATAACATGAAATTACAACATACTTTACTTGGCAACTTTACGCAACTATTTTTTTGTTAAAATATAAATACATAGTATTGTACATATTTACTGACGCAAAATACAATAGAATGGCATTTTATTAGAATATGTAAAATTTTTCAAAGCTTTCATTAATTTTCCATTTACTTTAGACAAGAATATTTAAATCCATTTAAATTTAAAATATATAAATAATATAACACATTCGCTTACCTCGTTTTTCTCTCAGTTTATTCCTAATTAATGATTCTAAGTGTTCGATCTGAGTGTTTCCTGGCTCAGTTGTAGAAAATAAATTGATATATTCTAAAGCTTTGTTGTATTCCTATAAAAATGGTACATTAAGTTATTTGAATGCAATTAGAATGTAATTAAAATTATAATCGTAGAAAATGTTACTTTTATTCTTGCATGGCCGATCGCAAGATAGTACATGCAATCTCTTCTTTCCATTGAACTGGTATCAAGTAAATTCTTTAGCAACAAAATACCCTTATATATATCAGAAGAATATTTACTTCGTACTAAACACCAAGCATATTGGAACTGAACTTTTGGATCTAAGTTCCCATTTAATAGCGTAATATTATATTCTCTCTCAAACTTCTATATAATAGTAAAATGTTATATATTATAAAAATAATATATTAATACTTCTGTATTCGACAGCTTTTTATAATAGTTAAAATTTATTTAACCAGAATCAATTTTCTAAATTAATATTAAACAAAACAAGCACAGGACAATCAATCACATAGATATATTTATTTCTAGGGAAATATAAATTAAAGAAAATGAAATATATATATAAACGCATGTATGTATTTATTTGGTCGATTTAGCAGCAAAAAGTATCGGTCATTGACTTGTAACTTTAAAATGATGTGTAACGAATTCACTTAGTTTATAGCCATAAATGAAATTTAAATAATAATAAGAATAATTATTGCGGCAGGCGATGAAAATTATTTTAATAATTTAATTTCATCTTACTTTTAAATCCTGGGCTGAAGTCATTTCATCCAATATATCATCCATTTTAACAACACAAATATTTTGTTTGATCAATTGACGGTTTCTCGCGAGAATCGCTTTGAAATTACAATGTTACAATAACTAATTGACTATGCGTTTATTAAAATCTCTATTCTGTTAATCTCGTCATTTCCCCAAATATTCAAACGACGGTATTGGGCAAGAAAACTTGATTTTCTCAATATTTATTTTCAATAGAATACAATATATGGATTAATGAAGAAAACGTGTGTTTACATGGCTTTGTATATTGTATTATCATCGCTGTTATATAACAATGAAAACAGATTTTCCAAAGATTTTTAAAACGCATATGCTATTTACGATACGTAATTCACAATTGGCTTTAATAATAAAGTTTTCAATGCACAAACTGTTTATGCGTACACTCTGCGCTACCTGTGTACAATATGTGCGCGCGCGCCCTCGCAGCCCCACACATAAAGCCCACATAATCGCTCACAATGCGCACACAAGTACTTACGTTATGTACAATAAAATCGAGCAGTGCACAATGAAAATGATTTTTTCTTTTAATTTCCAATGGCATTTAAAATTGATGATAAAAGAGTATTTTTCAACACTTTTTTTTATTTCTCTTATATATCAATATCGTTACAATGTAAATTAAATATATATATATATATATATATATATATATATATATATATATATATATAATATTAAGTCATTATTTTACGTACAAAGATGTTAACTAATTTTGATATTACTTCGTTAAATTGATTGTTTTTGCAAATTATTTTCATGTAGATATTAAAATAATTATTGTAGTGTATAAATTACGTGTACGTGTGTGCGAGAACGTGCCCGCGAGTGCGTCTGCATTTATTATAAGTGTTGTCACCAATGTTTTTTTATCATCAACAAATGTTAATTAATTAGTTGCGATACAACGACTTAACGAAGAGTATAAAAAAAATGCTTATAATCATTAGCATTAATATAATAAAAAATATATTTGTAAATTCTGCATTTGCGTGCATACGCAGCAGTTTCATGCATAATACAGATGACATGCGCGCATACACCGTAAATGTATATAATAGAAGCGCATCGTTGCGCTTGTGTGCGTGTGCGCGCGCGTGTGTGCTGTGGGTACGCCTATATACATTCCTTTTAAGAATTGAAATAATTTAATGGGTGCTTGTTTTTATAATAAAGGTCATCGAATTTTCGTAAATTTATTCAGCGATAATTTTCCTTTGTCAATTAATGTATTTAGCTGTTAAATTAAATATTTTGCTGCTTAACAAATAAAACGCTTGTAAAACCGATACACGTTTATTCGTAAATAAAAATTTGCTAATTATATTATGAATTTTAGCAGTTATAATAGAACTTTTATTATCAAAGTATGATGTAACTAACCGTCTCGGCTGTTAGATTTTTTTTTTTTATTTAGTTATATCATTAGTAAATTTTCAAAAATTTAAATCTTTTCCCCTTGGAGCATCAGCCATCTTGGTCTATGACGTCAGACGTGAAAAAGCCTAATATCGTCCAGCGCGGTATATTTTTTTTCAACTTACCGCATGTATTCAAAGTTCATTATTGAAAAATGCAAGATCCAATTCAAAAGTTGATATGACATATCTTGGCAATAAAGAGTAAGAATTAGAATCTTAAATCTCAAAGTGACGCCTAGCACACCCAAATTATCCGATTCTCTCATTACGAAAAGAATAAACAAAATTGTAGAAAGAAACAGGTGGTTGTAGCATAATTTAAATAAGGAATAAATCGAAAAGTATAGTATGGAGAATAAAACGCAAGTGAAAAATGAACCACAAGAACCATCGGATTCTGAATCTCAAAGTAGGTTAAATTAGATTCTTTTTTTTCTTTTCTTTTTCTTTTTCTTTTTTTTTTTTTTTTTTTTCCCCCCCCCCCCCACCACCACCATTATATATGCATGTATCTATGCACCTTGGAACAATCAAAGATTTATTTGTCGATGTTGATGATGTTGAAATTTATATTAATGTATGATACTTTTTAACTATACAATTTATTTCATTAATATTTTAATTTCTCAACAATTAGCGTACTTTATGTCGATTAATACTTTAAAGCAATATTTCTTAAATAAAATTAGTCAATAATTCTTATTGGCATCGATCGTGTACATTTCATTTATTAATATCAATATATACATATATATTTTCAGCAATTCTTAAAAAAGAAAAGGAAAACATTAACAATAAAGAAGAAAGTCCACCGGCCAAAAGAGATTTTCATGGAAAAACTAAAAATTCATCGTCTGAAAGTACGATACTGCCACCACCACCTCCTCCAACGATGCAAACCAACATTTTCTTTGATCTATTTTACGACGGACCTTACGATCTAACATTGTGCAATCGCTCCTGGGGAATTCACAGAGTGCCACCACCAAATCGAGCGATCGTTCTATCCGAAATAACATTTGCATTGTTTAATGTTGCAATGTCTCCATCGTATAAAAAACAAGTAAAATTTTAATACAATAAGCCGCAAATAAATTGCAGTACACTGTAAAAGCTGATTAATAATTATTTTAGGTAATATTTACGGATCACCTCAAATTTAAAGCTTTTGTTCTTGATAAGCTTGTAGTAGAGAAAACATTGGACAAATTGAATACTCAAGAAGACTTTGAACAATCCTTTGCAGAAATAGTTAACATGGTAGTATGCAAAGGGGGACCTAACATCGAAGACAATCAAGATATATTGTTACGATGTGCGTATAAAGACTTTTATAGTAATCGTTGGAGACATAAATCGTGTACAATAATAATTGAAAGAGGAGAAGAAGTGTGTAGGCCATGTTTGTATTTGGTAAGTATTCTCAGGAGTGGATAAAAGTACAATTTAAGAGATAATGAAACGATTTTAACGAATTGAAGGTGCTTTAATTTTTTCATTAAGCGCTTTTATCAAAAAAGAACCAATTTATAATTTAAAAAATATTGAGAACAATTGACATTCCACAGTATTTTTTATACAAAAAAAATTGTGTAATAATTATTTAGTATTCATAAGTTAAGAAAAATTGTATATTATTTATTTTGAAATTATCTTATTTATTATTAGAAAGCCGATTATTATTTATTACAATTTAATGAAAAATTACACAAACATTAAAATTGCTTTTAACTAATTCACATTAACAATAAGTAGCCATTTAATTTTAGTAAATGTATGTGAAACTTATGAACCATGTAATTTCCGTAGTATTATATATGATTAACTACACTATATGCATCATAAAGCGCATAATAACTTACAGATTAAAATTTGTACTCTCGTATTTATGCCAATTTTTATTATATTTTCTATTTGTCTTCATACTCTAAGTAAAAATTGTTCACATAATTTATTGTCAAATAAAGTGGCAAGCCCACGACTGTATAAAAGTCTCCGTTAATTTTTGATACAAAACATCCGCCCTTTTCTTGTATTCCGTACCCTCCAGCCTTGTCACTACAAACAACGGTTTTTCTTATTTCACCTATATTTCTTAACCTAATTCTTAACAACGAATTAACTTACAATGGCTCTCCCGTTTCAATGTACCAACGTATTTGTTCTTCCAATATACATCCAAACGTTACTTCCGTAAAATCACAAAACGTTATTTCTTTATGTTCTGATTTAATGCAGACTCCGGTATATACAATATGTGTACTTCCTACAAGACTAAAGGAAAAGGAAAATCATAATTTCTGTATTAATTGCAGCATATGCTTAAGAAGCTTTATGATAAGAATTAATTATGCCTACCTTGACAATATATCAAAAGCATCTTTTTTATCCTTGGGCTTACCATAAATTATATCTCCCTTGGTAACAATTGTATCGGCTCCGATTATTAACGAATCTTTAAAATTACTGTCTCCCTTTAATCGTTCATATACATCGTCGACTTTATGCTTAGCGAGATCGACAACATATTCGTTGTGGGTTTTGTAATGATCTCTATTTAGATTTTCATTAAAAGTTGATGGAATAACTTCTGGTGTTATTCCCTAGATAATATTGCAACCAAATTAAATATGATTACCTATTGCATTTCAAAATATAATAGACCATTTCTTTGCAAGGAAAGTAGCATATTTTATCAATTTACTACATTCACCCGCACAAATGACATAAAATAACATAAACACTTACCATAATTTGTAATATATCTAGTCGTCTAGGCGAACCACTCGCCAAAATAACTCTTCTTTCTGAAATAGCTCTCATCGTAGATTGCAACATTGTTTTATATATATATATAAATATTATTATTATTATTATTATTATTATTATTATTATTATTAAAAAATTATATTAAAACGAGATTTGCAATATTAAATAATATATTTGCATTCAAAATACATTTTTGTATAATTATTGATTCCGCCAAATGTGAATGTCACTTAGTAATTTCATTGTGTAAATCAGAAAAGAAAAATTTAATTCTATCAAATATTATCAACATGCAATTCACTTTTTTTTCTATCTAAAATAAAATGTTTCACTAAAGATTATTTCCTTTCAATTACCGAGATTTGTATTATCTTTGGAAATATCTTTAATTTTTAGGTTATAAAATGAATTTTGTAAATTGATATTAATAATCGTTTAAATTCATAATAAAATTGTCTCGAAACACTAAAAATTTAAGCTACTTTGATGAATTTTAATAGTCACGTGATTAATTTAGTTTCATAACTACAATTTATTTATACATATAACAATTGTTTGATGTATAAATTTTTTTTATTTATTTTTTGTTTTTTTTCTTATGACAAATTCGCATCAATAAGGAATGAATGGTAATAAAGAAAGCAAAATTATGATAAATTTAAGCAATTTAATTTGAATTTTACACTTATATATATATTTTTTTTTTATAAAAAACGATATTTCTGCAAAATAATACGAAGATTTTAATTACATTTTTTATTATTTATACATTCGATAGTGTGAAAATGAAATTATATTTTGTAATACGAGCATTAGAGAATATTAAAATTTAATTATAATTACTTACAATGATTTTGATACTTATAAAATATTTTGTAATATACTGATCGTTTAATAATTAATTTATTAAATTTGTTGTAATAAATTTTTGTATATAAAATATAAATTCAAAACATAGTGTACAAAAGGTTATATAAAGCTACAGTTTTATTTTGTAAAAGAAAATTTTTATTACCGTTTGATATATTTTTCTAATATAATATGCTTATAAAATTAATATTCGTAATATGATAGTTTTTTCGAATTTCACAAATGTAAATTAGTGCATAACTTGGCAAAGAGTTGTTGAAAAATTTCCATTATATAATCAACTAAATTACGTAAGACAATATGTCGAAAAAAAAATTATGTTCAATAGACACTTTTTATAGTTTTTATAACGTATGGAAAAAGTGTGGAAATATTGTAATAAGAATTACATTAAAAAACAATATTACTGCGTTCAATTTTATTGCATAAAATTTGAAAATTATTTAAATAAAAATTTTGTTATTATAATGATTTAAGCGAATAAGTTTAATTAATTAATACTAAATTTGTCTATAATTAAAAGGTGTGTACATTACAAAATTCAGTAATTTAATAGTTTGCATGCAAATGCATTGACACACCTTAATACGCGTACGTATATGTTTAAAATTTCAAAAAGTAGTAAAGTAATCGGAGTGTAAATAAAATCAAATATTGAAAAGAAAAGAAAGATTATCTTAATATAAATAAAGTTATAAATTTACATAAATACACAGTGACCTTTTGATTCAATATGTTTTAATTCAGAAATAATGGTAATAGGATGATGATGATAATGACAATAATACAGCTAATAATAATAATAATAATAATAATAATAATAATAATAATAATAATAATAATCGCCACTATGATTCTACAACCTAACAGTTATTAAATATTTCCTTTATACATGTACTACATTTTTACTTTAAATTTATTAACTTATTTACTTATAATTTATTTATATTTATATATTCATAATATTTACTTGTATATCTATCTCATTTATATATTTTTGTTCCAATGATTGTGGAATATTGTGTTATTTATGTATAATTCAACACCCTGCATAATGATTTCGTGCCTATTTAATATTTGACAAATGATTTTACTCTTTCATTGAGTTTATTGATTCAATGTACCACAGTTTGTAAGAAAATATCAACAATGCAATGTTATTATAGCAAAGTTTACATAAAATTGTAAAACAAAAAAAAAAAAAAAAAAAAAAACGGCTTTATAGATTAAATAAGCCAAGATTGAGAAAAGCACCCACGTAACTATGAATAGTGAAAACGATACAAGTAACTAAGTAATATTTTTTCATAAATTTCCTTATTTATTTTTCAATTAATAAAGTACGTTGAACAACACAAATACAGTCTATATGACGCTAATACACTTAAGTCCATATTATGATCTTTTAATCAAGTCTCTACAACATTATCCCGCGTACACACTTTACATAAGAAAAGACCTAAGTAAGTTGCTTAATTGTATACAATATTTATTCTAAAAACGTTTGTATGACTTGTCAAGACTTTATCATGACTGCTTTTCTTAAAATGAAAATATTAAGTCTTAATAACCGTTCCGAATGTTATAAGGCTTTTCTGGCATTTGTATAAATCTTACCAAACTTCATTTTTCTTTTCTTTTCTTTTCGTTTCGTTTCGTATCTTTTCTTGTCTTTTCAAACGTCTTAGCTTCAGTACAAAAAGTGTGTAGAAAAAAAAGGCACTTTGTATAACGCTAACCACTTAAAAATAGGAAGATTAACCGACGACGTCTGATCGCAAAGCCCTCGGCCATTAAAATCCTGAGACTATGAAATCATTCATCGTAATAATGAGAGATTTTACTGGAATATCCCGAGTGACTTTCATTCATTTTGCACGAAATCATTAGCAAGTTATCCATATCGCTTACGTTTAACTGAAGCCCCACGCACGATTCGGTAAATAAGATTCTAAATCCTTTATGCTACCCACCCTGCCATTGCTCGTCAGAGCGAATGCTTTTTCATTTTTCATTTTCTTTATCTTTAAAAATCTCTTACTCTTCGTTCGAAGCGTGCTCTGCGCACATTATTATTATTATTATTTATTTTTTTTTTTTTGCTGTTGTTGTTGGGTTTTTTGTTTTTTGTTTTTTTTTTTGTTTTATTTTGTTTTTATTCGTATTGAACGAAGAATCACGGAAACGCACTTGGAAATGCATCAGGTCTGCGACTCAAGGAGAATGTTTCGAGTGTCAACCCACGCTGTCTCCCATGACTTCATTATTCGATGCGACGACCTTCGTTTCTTCATCGAAATCTCTTGGGGCGAATACTTCCAATTCACATTGCGCGTCGACGAAGACCTAAAAACACGGCCTCTTATAATACTTATCCTTCATTTATTCGTAATAACAATTCCACGCACCATGGGAAAAGGAAATAATGGATGAATAATGGCTAGGAGGGAGTATAAGCAAAAGTTTAATAATAAGAAAAAAAAATAAAAATAAATAATCGGGTAACGCTTGTTTTTTTTTTCTTCTTCTTCTTCTTCATTTCTTTCTTTCTTTCTTTCTTTCTTTCTTTCTTTCTTTCTTTACCATTATGACTCGTATAACTATACCCTGTCTTGAATTCATATATGCTTCACACATGTAATACGGTAATCATGATAATTCATTGAAGAATTTCATATGAAATTGACAGATAACGTACGATTTATTAATTTATGTCCCTTGACGTTAATTACAATATTGTCAAGAAAATTATTGAAACAACGACACTTACTTAATAAAGATTTAAATTTTCAAGAAAATACTAAGGGCACACTACTTTTATCTAAATAAAAGTCATATACGCTTTATCGAACATAGTATAATAATAAGAAACCATAATTCAATTATCGTTGGCTTTCTCGTTTTTGTCAAGAAAATATAGTTAATAAGATAAATGGATCACTAATGCGAATGAATGGAGATTTAAAAAATTGACGAAAATCTTTATTTATTTCTTTTTACAGCTGTGCAGCGTAGCAGCTATGTGCTTTAAGATTATTTTTCTATTCGATTCAATTAATCTCAGAAATTTTTGTTCTATATCCTACTTTTACACTACACTCCACGATATTCATAAATGTAAATTAATATGTATTTTGGAAAATATTTTATACCCTCGTACCAATAAAATTAGGTAAATAAACATTACTAACATTTGTTTTTTTATTTTTTATTTTTTATTTCATTTAGTTATTTATATATATATATTTTTTTTTTTATATAAAGTATTTATACTATTGTTATTGTTGTTGTTTTTGTCGTTGTCGTTGTCGTTGTCGTTGTCGTTGTCGTTGTCGTTGTTTTCATTGTTATTCATCATCATCATTATTATTATTATGTGTATACGAGTTATTATTTAAAATTGCAATAATACACATTTTAATAGTTAAATTTTACTTTCAAATATCAGTAAATGTTGTTATAGTTTAATTTTGAGAGATCGTTTATACTATTCGTTTGAGTCACGAAATTTATAAATGCAAATCAAAATATATTTTGCTTAGTATTTTTTTCCGTTCAAAACTTGTCTCTAATTTTCATCTTATATATATATATATATATATATATATATATATATATATTTATAAATTAAAGATAGATTCTTAAATTTCCATTGATTTAGCATATTGTAGGAAAATTTTTCATTAAACAAATTTTCTACGACATATTATTGTTCTACGACATTTACGACTATTATATTTCAATGTATAATTCAGAAAAAAAAATTGTAATATATCAAACTATTTTTTATTCGACTGTAGAGTGTACGCATGTATGCACGTACGTGTGCATGCATGTGTGCATTTATGTATGTATGTATGTATGTATGCATGCATATACATACAGATAGTTATATATACACATTAATGAAGAATATAATTTTATTATAATTTTTTATCATTATGATAATGTATGTCCTACTTATTAATTTTATATACACTTATAATATAAGTAATTTAAATCTAAGATAAAAGAATAATATTTATTAATATAAAAATATATTAGTCTTTTTAATGGTATTTAGAAAAAATTATATGTATTTATTAAATCGATATTTTAACATTAAAAAAAAAAAATAAAAAAAAAAAAAAGCACTTATGGCATTTACAGCTAAAGATATTGTAACCGTATATAGGATATAAAAGTATTGGCAATGTGTTTATAAAAATGAAAATGAAGTGAAAATTTATAACGACTGATAGATAGGTAATTGTTGAGATAAGTTTGCAAAGGAAATATAAAATACTTTATTTTAATTTTTAAAAGAATAAATTATGCAGTTCGGTATTATGCTTTACAATTGTTATTAATAGTTGATCGCAAGGTGTATTTCAAGCAATATAATAACAGTGAATTCTAATAAATTTTTCTCCAAATAATCGTCCTCTAATCAGCTATTGTATTCAAAATTTCGTGAAAATATATTATAGGCAATGACATTTTGTAATGTCACCTGCTAATTTACTGCGCGAACACCTCCTCACGCGTACGAAATGACGTTTCAGTCTGTGGATAACTTTCACAGCAACAATTGCATTTACTTCATCTTAAATAATTACATATTCATTTGTTAACATGATATTTTGATTATCGATAAACTTAATTATAATTCAAGACTGTATTGAATTATTTTCTCTCTCTCTCTCTCTCTCTCTCTCTCTCTAAGCGATTCAATAATAATCTTGTATATTTACATGTAAATGTGCAACAATTTTCTTAAAACTGAATTCATATATGAATTTATGACAGAGTATATTATTAATATACAAAGCACATAATTCAAATATTATTTATTCTTACTTCTCGATTGGATCCATCGTTGCATATTTCTTGGTTCATTTGATCATTTGTTGCTCCTGCTGTTACATAGAATAACAATTAAAAAAAAAAATTTTTTTTTTTGTAAAACATAAGCACGATCATCGATAAAACTTACTCGTTTCGTTTTGTCCTATAGCAGTTTCAAGTGGTGCAGAAATTGTTTCTGAAATTTCTCGACGTTGAGCTTCGGCGTCGATTACATGAAGACGCTCTCGGCTGCGCCGTAGTTCTTTTCGCAATCTTTCTCTTTCTTCGTCTCTTTCCTTAACGATTTTCTATAAGCGATTTAGCCAATAAGCGATTATGTTTTAAATAAGGTAAATTTAAAAGAATGTATTTTAAATGGAAAAAATTAAAATGTTAGAACAACATCACTACTTGATAAAATAATCCGTTTTTTTTTTTTTTTTTTTTTTAATACCCTTTACCAAAGTACCTTCCCTATTAATATTTTTTAGCGTATCTTCATCGACGTGCCCGTGCCCCTCCCCCCCCCTCCCCGCCCCTCATCACCCGGCTCTACTATGTCAAACCATTTCTCGGAAAAATCGCCTCCCATACATCCCTCCATCCCATACGTCCCTCTTGGGTACACATCCAACACATTCGTTGAACAACCCATCCCCCAACATCGCTTTCTGCGGTTTTGTTTTAACGACGAAAAGCACTTACGAGAAGATGCGATAGTTGCGAGGCCAGAGAATTGCAGACGGGTTGGAGCGTCGAGACAGGGACCGCGGGCTCAAGGGTGCGCGGATGCGGCCTTGGAGTCGGACACCCGGTAGCCTCGCAGCTGCTGGATGTGCTCGCGGTCTGTGTCGCCAGCACCGTTTCCGTCTCACTGACCGTCAGCGCCGAGTTCAGCAGCTCGATCAGTTGATTCGCTAAAAGTACAGGATGAAACGTCACTTTGATTTTAAAGAGTCTCGCTACAATTTAACGGCCAATCAAAGGATACACAACTTGTCTAACGAGTTTATCGATCGACTCCATATCATTTGGCAATAATAACCTTTATCGGACTATTTTAAAGCAACAATTTATAGCTCGATATATGGGCATATGGTGGGCATACGATATGAAACCATTTACATTAGTTTGACGTTTACGGCAGCAATAATTATTGCACACTAACGTAAGAACTTTGCGCAAATTCGCAAAGAAGAATTTGGAAACAAATATGCCAAGGACCAATTGCTTTTGCAAAATATTGATCACAATCGTTGAGCTCCGACAAATCGAATGACACAGCAGTATTTTAAGAGTTTTACAAAAATTCCATTTTTAATCATAATGACAATAACAATATAGCCTCCCAAAGTACATTATCGATTACGAATAAATACATAATAATGTATTGGGATGAATGAAACGTCGATAGTCTCACGTGCTTACCTTGACCAATAGCTGCCAGTATAAGTTCAGCGGGCTCCTTTTCAGCAACTGGGAGATCCGAGCCTGAGTCCGTCATTTGCTCGGTGTCTGCTTTTGGAATATTCAGTATGTTTGCGACTATGCATTGCTTCTCGATCAAGGCTTGCTTGATCACTTCATCTTTTCGTCGCAAATACTCTAAAACACACGATAGATACGTTCTGTTGTAGGATTTTTTTTTTTTTTTTTTTTTTTTTTTTGCCTCTTTTCGCCAACGACACTTGTTTTTCCCTTATTTAAGACTTTCTTCAAAAGCACTCACGATCAAGTATTATATAAGGCTCGGGTCGTGCATTCTAATAAAGCGTAAAATTAGTATAAATCGATTAGAGGCGCGAGCACACGTAAATGACTATTTTCAGTCATTCAGTCATTTAAATGCACGACTCGATAAAAATCATTTCATCACTAGCTCGATTCTCAAAGCAAACGTATAAATCCAACATTACCATTAAACCGCAACTTTTAATTATGAATTTTAATAGGCCTAACGTGACTTTGTTTATTTATCGATCGATCCTGGCCGGCCTATTATAATTAACTAATTGAAGAAAAAAACAAAAACAAAAACAAACAAAAAAAAAACAAAAAAAAAAAAAACAAAAAATAATATATAAATAAATAAATAAATAAATATAATTATAATGATATCGCAATATCGTATTAATAACGTATTGATCGAATAATAAGCGACTGTACTTGTCAATGTACATAGAGTGCTTGCTACTTTCTACGGTATGGAGCAAATGATGGCTAATATCAGTGCCATAATTCACCGGTGTAATTGCGGTGATTACGCGACTATGTCAAGAGCCAGGCGATGCCTCTAATGTAATATTTCCGAACCTGGATATCCGACCCGAAGCATCATTACCGTCATTCATCGGGATGATCGAGTCAGGTCAGGTAGGCGGCCGAGGACGCGTGCCACACGATCCCAATATCCCTGCATAAACCCCGCGTATTCATTTATACAACTTCAATTTTATATTTGCACTTTGCAAGGTTGAGCGGAAATAAAAGGTCGTCAATATATCACTGGCCGAACTATCCAAAACTATCCAAAACTATCCAAAACTATCCAAAAGATGAACGAAAAAATTTGTTTATTCCGTTGGTACATTGTATATTGATTAGTTTGCCGCAAGCAGCCTATACATGAATAAATAAATAAATCAACAATTTTTCTAGCACTTCTCTTGTATGCATAAATTGCGTATAAATGAATAAAGAATAAGGGAGATGGATGGAGCGCCAATTGCATTCGGGAGCGCTCAAGTGCTTCGAATCATTCATAAAATGGGAATTCATCATTTTTTAATTTGAGAATTTTAGGAAGATGATAAATAAAATAATAAACAAATTGAAATTATTAGATGCTCACCGATGGGGGTTAGAACCGGCTCGGCAACGTGCACGAGCCTCTCCTCGATGTGTACCTCGAGTGGATTTATGAGCGTGCAGTGCGTACATATTGTCGGTCTTAAAGGTTCGCCCGGGATTGTCAGTCCAGCGGAGGCAGCAACGCTCGCGGCCTCTTCGTGATCTACCTTCCTCCTGTTTCCGGTGACTTTCGTCGCCGAACCATCCTCGTCCGCGTCCTCATTCTCATCCCTCTCAATACTACCGGCACTCACTGAGCTCGCATCCACTGCCTCGGTATGCTGCTGCTGTTGTTGTTGCTGCTGCTGCTGCTGCTGCTGCTGCTGCTGCTGTTGTTGTTGTTGTTGTTGCTGTTGCTGTTGCTGCTGCTTCTGCTGTTGCTGCTGTTGTTGCATTGTCGTCATTGACTCATGTGTAACTGGACTCTCTTTACTTTTCTCCTGGTCGGCTTTTTCGCTCGAACGTGCCTCGCTACCGGCATCCTGCATGAATAACAATTATGACACAATTTTTTTTAATCATCGATTAAGTGAAATTCCGATGATATGCCGATAATGACTGTAATTAATGCCGATATATTTAAGATAGCGCACATGCGAGCGAAATCCTCGCAATGATTGCAATATTTTATGTTTGATAAAGACGAATAAATAAATAAATATTTTTAATTAGCTTGTAGAAGCTATTCCCCTTCCAATAACTTATATTTCATTAGCAGGCAGTTATTATCGAAAGGGCTTTGAACGAAGTTTAAAATACAAATCTACTTCATCCTCTCAAGATCTAAGAATTATAATTATTCGTAAAAAAAGCGCGAAAACACCATCGAGATTTTGAAAGTGAGTTAAGATAACAAACCGCGTGCGTCGTCACCGTAGCGTTGTTCGCTGTCTCGGGCAGCAACTGATCTTCGGCAGACTCGACGAGGTCATTAGAAGAGGAACTCGGGGGCATGGGTCTTCTGCCTTCGCGATCCCTCGCCTTGTGCACCTCCGCGGCCTCGGATATATGCTTGTACCAGAGCTTGCGCTCCTCGGAGGAGGAGGCGACGAGGTCGTAGATCTGCGCGCCATTTTGAGACGTATTGACGAGGTAGAGAGAGTTCTTGTCGACGGCGTTGTGCCTGACGAGGACGGTCGATACCCTGACGATCGGACTGAGGACCGAGTTCATTTGATTGATGAACTTGAGGGCGTACTTCTCGTCCTGGCGATGGAGCAGGAGAATCGTATCGTCGAGTAGAACGACGTGGAGGTCAACGGGCTTGGCCTTGACTACGCGCCACTGGAGGGGACCCTCGTAGATCAGCCGGCGCTTGGTGATGTCGAGGTTCTTGAATTCCTGGACAGTCGGGTGCTCGAACTTGTCGAAGGCCGAGCGATCGATCGTACGCTGAATCTCGACGAGTCGATGGTAATCCTCGGACTCTCGCACCGCCTGATTAACCCGACTCAGGATCTCGCGACTGCGCTCGAGGCTGCGCAACACCGCCGCGCGCTCCTCGTTGTTCTCGCACGTGTACTTGGCAAGATTGTCGAAGAGCAGGGGATACTTGGTCAGCCGAAGCATGCCCGTCAGTATGTGATCCTTAAGCTGAAGCCTGCGCTCAAAAAAAAAAAAAAAAAAAAAAAAAAAAAAAAAATAAATTCTCCTTATTAAATTCTTCGTAATAACCTTGGGTGATCGTGCGCCAGCCCGAATAGACTGGCGCTCAAATGAAATGAAAGCGGATTTTGTTCAATTCGGCAACGGTAGAGCCGAGTAAAGCCGTAAGGCGAGACTCACCTTCGGCACATGGGATTGGCCTCGACTTCGTTGAGGAAGACGTTGAGCTTGGGGTCCTTGCGCCTCTGGTCGCGTAGGGCGCGCAAGGCCACTTGCTGCTTGGCGCAGTACTTGGACGCGGCCTTCTCAAATATCTCGCCGGCTTCGCCGTCGAACATTCCCAGCAGGAGCTCGCCGATGTCGCCGACGCAGGGGTTCTCCTTCTTCTTGCGTTTCATCGCCTGATTGAATTGCGAGTGGAGAGTGACCATCTCGTCGAGGTTCGAGAAGAGCAGTTGAATCTGATCGAGGGACAGCACCTGGGTTTCCAGCAGGGGCTTGTGGAAGACTTGGGAGAGGACCTTGAGAGCACGCACGTGCGAGCGCTCGGTGTGAAAGAGCTCTAAGGGCGTAATAACGACGATCGAATCATGAGAACACGTAAATAAATAACATAAACATTGAAAATGTTTTATGTCTCATACACCTAATGCATGCATTGACGTATGTATGTGCATTGGCAGTGACAGCAGTTGATTATGAATAATAAATAAAAATTTACAAAACTTTCGACTCATTGGATATCGTTGAAACAAAACAAAACAAAACAAAATAAAAACAAAACAAAAACAAAAACAAAAACAAAAACAAAAACAAAACAAAACAGAAAAAAAAGAAAAGACAGAAACAAAAGTATGCGTTATTTTGTAATGAATATCGTAATGTATAAATTGAAAATTGAAATTGAAAATGCATGGGGATGTAGCCAATGCATTAGAATCACTTGGCCGTAGACTCTGGTGCATGCCGATCTAGGGAAACCGAGAACGGGGTAGCGAAAAAACGCGTCTGCTTGGCGTCCGCCCGTCGAATGGACGGTAAAAGCCGCAGCTGATAAAGCAAACGACCCGATAAAGCTCGATAACTCACCGTTAATAACCTCCTGCCTTTTCTTCTCGGCATTGCTGAGTCTGACGAGGACCTCCTCTGCGACTCCTTGGCTCCAGTCGGGCGGGTCCGGCTCGACGTCAACGTCGCTGTCCCAGGAGGTGGAGGCGTTGGCGGCGGCCGGATGTACCTGCTCGAGGCTCGTGCTCGGGCTGTCGAGACTCCGGGTGGACAGACTGCTGTTGGAGGAGCTGCCAGCCGAATTACCGGGAAACGAACCGCTGGCATCACAGTCACTAATTAAAATAAGAAAGTGGCGCACAGGTGTTATTAATCAGGGTCCAGAGGGGGCTTTGATCTCTTTCCTATTTCCGCGCGGGGTGAAATTTATTAGCCGCTGGGCTCGGGTGACGCCGATAAATCCGATAATTTATTAATGCAGTGGTGCTCGATGAGCTTGCAAACGAGCCCTCGAAACTCGTCGTTAAGATATTCTCTCGATGCATGGCGCAGTGGTTGTAGCTACACGAGTATCGCTTTATTAATTTCTTTTCAAATTCAAGTATTTTTTACAATTTCAGAATCGTTACGATAGTCTACATATATATATATATATATATATATATATATATAAGCATAATAATATCGAAAGATATCATCTCTATGTTTGGTATGAATGTGATGTGCCGTGCACGGTTATATAATATTATATAAAATGTAAAAGATTCACAAAAAAAAAAAAAAAAACCACTGTTTTTGAAAATTTCTTTATTTTTTCTTCTTCTTTTTTTACTTATAAATAATGTATATACGTGACAATGGGATGAGATTATAATAAACGTTGCCGAATCAATTTTACCGTTCTGCGTCATTCTTAATTCTAATTTTTATTTTATTGCCTAATATAATTTAATTTCTAACATGATTTTATTATAATTAGAGATTGTATATTGTTATTGTATGTCTATTAAATGAGCGCCGATGATATTGTCGCAGCCGCAATATAATGTGTTTAAATTTTGTTAAATTACCGATATGGATATCAAATAAATTAAAATTAAAAAGCAAGTCTTTGATGTCGAGTCAGCCTTTGGCACAAATTTCAGGGATTTTTCATTATTGCGGAATTTAACCTACTTTTAATATGCGCATGTTTTTCAATGTTTTTCAACGCATAAAAATAATGATAATTTTAGGTGAATTATTGAGAACATGGCATAAGTGTAAAGATTAAAAAAACATTAATTTAATGATGAATTTCAATCAATTAGCATTGTCTAAAATGCTTTTAAATTATTCGTTATTCGCGTGCGGTCGTAAAAGGCTTTAAGTTACGAAAGCCTTTATAATTTATAATCAAGTGGATGGAATAGTAATTTGAAAAATGTACTTATTCATAATTTTTTCAGGACAATTTTTATACGACAGAAAATATTGCAATTATTACATTTTACCATTACGTTTTATTCTGTTTAAAGCGCGATTGAAATTTATCAGAAATGTTTTAATATTTTCACTATTACTCTAGAATATATAATCTAGAATATCTAATATATCTAAATTTATAGATTTTAAAATTTTAAACTTTTATGCACTTTTATGTGAGAAAATATGTACTAAATGTACTAAATTTTTACGCTAAAGCGAGTGATTGCAATTATTTTAATTATAATTTGTGATGCGTAACTAATTGAGCGTACGAGAGTAATAAAGAATAATTGAAACAATTTCCTTATGTATTGTATAATGTGCAAAGTCTCGGATTTCTTCAAGTAATTAAAATTTCCCATTTGAACGTAATAATAGGACGAATAGGACTTTCAAGGGGTGTTAAATAAATTTTAGAACATTTAATAAGTAGCGAGTATTTTGTAATAGCAGAGCTGAATTTAAGCTTGAGCATATGATTAGCGAAGACTCTTTTCTTTGCGTAAAAATACTTTCACCGAGACTAATCGAATGTTCATATATATCGATCAAATACGATGGAATAAAAATTCGTCTTTTAATAAATAAATAAAACTGAGAGCAGCTGCTTGGATCATTGGATTTAATCGATAAAATTATAAGATAAAAATAACAATTGCCCAAATAAATTAATGGAATAGATTATGTTCACGGCATGCAGCATCTCTTCTTAATTCGCGAAAAGTTTTGAAGTGTTATCTTCAAACAGGCGGCGAATCGGCGGGGGATGGGAGAATTCGAGGGCTCCTAGGGGACACGATGCAGCGAGTTCGTCAACAATACGCGCGTTATCAATCGACGAGACTCGATAGGTCGTTCTGCGGAATGATTACACGGGGACTTGGTACGAGGTCTCCGATTATTGGAAGCAGGCGAACCGAGCGAACGAAAGGAGAAAGAGAAGAAGTCGAAGAGGCCATTGTCAAGTGCCCCATGCCCCGGGAGTATAAATTTCATTTTAGCACGTATAATAATCCCCGGCAGCACACTCCTCGATATCCCGTACGCAATCCGCGGTCGCATATCTTGACAACGGGGATTATTCATTGTCGGGCGGTCGCTCCGCGCCTATAACGCGACACACGCTCGGCCCATTAATCTCACCGGTATCATCTCTCTCATCCTTCCACTTTCGCTCGGCACTCGGATTTATGAGAAACGCAGGCGCCGCGGATTATCCACGTAAAGGATTGTTCTATTCCGTGTGCGTATTAATTCGCATTCGCAGTAAATTGCCCGACCAAGCGATTGTGTTCCACGGTGTCGGGGTAGTCGGGGGAATCGCTTTCGCTTACACTCCGCCCCCTATCGCCGACTCCGCTTATTATTTCTCTTTACGGGCTCGCGCATACGGGGCCGAGCGAGATTTCTAATAATTTATTTCGAACGTTCGCGCGGTAATGGACAAAAGTCGGCAAATGTTAAGCCTGCCGTCATCGTATCGGCGCAAATCGCGAGCGAGCGAGCTTTACGGCAAGCGACGGTCAAAATCCATAATCCCTTCGTCTGGAGGATTGGTTAAGGTCGTGAGTAGGGCTAGGCTACCTTTCGGAGCGGCTTCTGCGCTCGGGCGACAGGACACCAACGTCATCTTCGAGAGCTTCGTCGACGCTGGTGCTCGACTTGCCGGGGACCGTACGACGCGCGCGACGCCGCTGTTGCACTGCCGGCACCTCCGTCGCGCTGCTGATGCTCCTGGAGGCCGCGCGCGCCTGGTGCCGCATATCTCCAACCTCCCGCTGCTGTCCTCGATGCGCGAATAACACCGAACCCCCTTCGTGCTCGCGGTCGAGCCTCACCAATCTGCTGGCATCACCAGTCCGCGCACCACCGTTTTGCACACCCTCCGCGCTCACTAGTCTTTCATGCCAAGTTTTTCCGCCAAACGAGGCCCCTCTTCGGCTTTCTCTCTCCTCGTCTTCTTTCTCCGATGCAGTCACATTCCCCTCGAGAGGAAGAAATCTCGATAATTCGCTTAACCTAGCGTTTTCCTCGCCTTATTGCGCGAATTTACGCAAACGACGAATGCCTTCTACTTTCCGAGGTATTGGCCATTAAATGGCAGGAAGGAATCGTCAGAAAGCTTATCTACTGTTTTTTACCCTTTCGTTATTGGTTAGATAGGGGGCGGGGGGAGAGAGGGCTCGGGTGTGATGGGATGGAAAGCTTTTGTAGGAGACGATGCCAGTGTTAGTCGACGGAAAAATTGATAAACGAGAATCCGCAAATTCATCATTAACGACAAAGGCAATATCGATCGGTAGATACGGGACGAGGGAAAGTAATTATCGTGCGCTCGCATCGACTTTTATTGTTCCACTCGCGATTCTCATCTTTCTCCACGTCGATTCCACGCCCTCGTTCTCCAGAATAATTGCCGCCTGGAAGAAAAATAAAGGCGAAGCTATGAATGATGAAGGACTGTGAAGCCTGGCACCGACAATTTTCACTCGAACGCCGGCCGGCCCCTTCGCTCCGCTCCGGCAGACATTTCCCTACGATCATTCTTCCCTCTCATTCTCCGTTTTTATCGCACTTACGAGTTCGCCTTTTTACACATAAACAATAAGCTGTACGAACAAAATTGTCCTCTTTTTTTTTCAAAATTTTTGGCGATGAAATTCCTTTTGTATTCTGAGATAGATAGATAGGTTTTGAGAGAGAGAGAGAGAGAGAGAGTGAGAGAGAGAGAGAGAGAGAGAGAGGATAGATTTGCTCGAGCTATTAATAAAACGAGTATGGACAATACCGACGACTCACTCCAAGTCGCCATTATCGATTTCTAAGGTATTGCAAAACAATTAAAGTGATAGAAGTCAGAATCGAAGCCATGAACAAACTGAGGGTGTGGGTGAGGAGCTGTATAAAATTTTGTTTCGACAGATGGCATACTTTACAAATAGAATATAGAAAATTTGTAACTCGTGTTTTCAATAAACGATCGGACGGTTTTTGAATTGTGCCTATGACTAATCGTATATGAAGAATCATTACAGCTTCGGTTGTAATGAACTGTCTAAATTTAAAAACACCTCCGTGTGTCATTTTCTTGTCGATTTCGTAATGAATGAATAAGCTTTTAAAAGCTAAAAAAAGTAATTACCGGCTTTTATTACGTTTTTACGATTCTCCGTGTAAACTTAATATGTAAAGAAGACAAATGTGCTGTTATAAGTAAAAATTTAATTTACTTAGTGTAATTTTACACAACTACTATGCTACCATCAATTGAGTTTTTATATTAAATAATTTGCGAATAATTTTTAGAAGGTATTGAAAATGATTTTCCCAATTCAATTATCATTTGCGGTTAATATTGTGTATCGAACATGTAAAATATGCAATAACGTTTTAAAATAAGTCATAAGATTGGATAATGCAATAGTACAATCGTACAAATAAAATCAAAATATATACATAAAATACTGTTAAGAAAGAAATAAAGATATATGAACTAAATTATTACAACTAAATTACTAGCACCATGTGCACCATGTGTAAACACAATGTGCAAATTCTATGCAAATTGTTGACCTAGTATTACCGGACAGCCATACTGATAAAGTAGAAATTAAAATACTAATTTTATACGCCAAGGTGTAATATTGGAAGAAAATTGTTTCTTTACAAAAATACAAAGGTCCGACAATTCGAAGGAATGTGTATATCAATATTCGAGTAAGATCGATTTAATTTGCCTAGTAAGGAAACAATCGGCCTAAAGCCACTTTAACAACAAAGACAACTAGCATCGTTGGAAAAAAATATAAGGGAGGCGAGCGTTATTAAAGCCACACCCTCGGTCGTCACTTTAATCAAGCCTTCTCAA